GAGGAACTGAGTCAGCAGACTGAGTCTGACAAATAGTTCTGTGCTGATCCGTGTGTTGAAACAGCAGCATGGTTCTGGAACCTTCTGCCCATTTAATATCAGACATGGTGTAAATTGGGTCTGACACAGATCCAGTACCAGGACTGTCCTTAAACAAGGTTCTTAAGAAATTACTAAGTTTGTTTGTTTACATATTATTGTGTATTACTTTGTTTTTGGAGTTGCTGTCCATTGGCTGTCTGAGGGTGGAGCCAAGCTTGGGGGCGTGGCTTGGCTTCACAGACGCAGATGGCTGCTGACTGGTTGTCCTGGTATTGGACAGGTACTGACGAACCTGCTGTCTCTGAGCCTGCTGGATGTGGTATTTGGTGGGGTTCTCAAGGTGAGTTTGCACCTGTTGGCCACACAGGGAAGGACATTCATTAGTGCAGGTGCTTTATGGGAAATGTAGGAACTAACCTCAGTAATAACAAGTGTGTAAGTGATTTCAGGTTGATGTTGCCTCCTGTGAGCTGCAGTTACTGCTCGCACCTTCAGAACCTCAACAGGAACCTCAGCAGGTTTGCAGGAGGAGGAGGAGGAGGACACTGACACACAGATGGGTGAAGAGGAGTCCAAGGAGGAGCGATGCTGCTGCTGTGCCTCCTTCTGCTCCTCCTCCAGAGCCTGCTGACGCATCAGATCCTGACGCAAAAGAACCCTGCAAGAGGACAGAGAAGGTTCAAGTGTGAGCATCCACACTCCTCTGCAGGACACAAACACAGAAGAAGCGTTACGGTTGTTTACCTGGATGACATGACTGACGGAAGTGAAGATGATGACGATGAAGAGGAAACCGCTGCCGATGAGCTGAAGGGAGGAACACGATGAGGTCATTGTTTTACATAACCTGAGCAGGAAAACACTGAAGGAGTGAGCAGCGATTAGTTTGGACCCAAACGCAGTGAGTGGTGGCGCAGAGGTTAGAGAAGGTGGGCCTGTGATCAGAAGATCACCGGTTCAACTCCCGGTACAGACAACATCAAAAATGTGGGTGGGATAGGTGAAACACCCACACCTGCTTCCACCTTCATTTGCCCCACTCCGGGCCCTTGAGCAAGGCCCTTAACCCCCACTCTGCTGCCCCAGGCGCCCTACATGGAGCTCCCTGATCCACACAGAGGCTGTGGTAGCTCGGTGTCTGTGGTTGAGTTAGGACGGACTTCCAGCGTAAAAATAATTTCCAAGTCTTTGTGAGACAGTTCGCTGTGACGACCCCTGAAGAAGGAGCAGCTGAAAGAAGAAGAAAAAAGTCTGGGCCCAAACGTGTTTCACCTGTAAGGTGCTGGTCCCTTACCTGATGCTGATTGGCTGACTCTTGATCTTGTAGAAAGTGTCGCTGTCTGTAGGAATCAAACAGTCGACATCAATATCAGCGACAATTCCAGACTCCACCCTGAGACGCAGAGAAACGGATTCAACCAATCAGGAGCCTGCACCACAAACCAGCCAATGAAAAAACATTTA